GTCATTGCTGTTTGTTATTTTTAACATAGTTTATTTACTAATTCATGTCATTTTATTGCATTTTAGGCCACTTTTATGTCCCAGAGAAGGGACTCAAGGTGGATCACGGGCTCTTGAAGCAGCCTAATAATAGCTCTGTAGTTTAGGTCTCTGGCTGTAGAGCCAGAGGTGGGGGGGACGGGTTCGAATCCCCCCCAGGGCTGGATCCGATGCAGGGTGGTCCCTTCCAGCTCTGGCATTCTGAGATTATATTTTTTTTGTTTGTTTGTTTAAGAGAGCTCAGGGAGTTTATTCTATCAAGCGGTATACAACTAACATAAGGAAACGAAGTACTTTAAAAAACCCCAACAACTGATTTAACAACCACAATAATGGATTCAATAGCAGCCCTCAAATTGGCCTCTATAGGGCAACAGGCCCCCCCCACCTATGGCTGGGGATTTCCTTGCCAAGCTGTGTCCCCATGGGATCCCCCTAAGGGGGAGTAAAGCTGGCCCTTTCGGGGTGCTGACGGATTAACCCTTTCGGCTTCTTTGCTGGATCAGAGTGGTTCAAGGTCCTCCTGGTGTCACTGCCCTGAAAAATCTACCCCTCTGGTTGTGAAACTGCAACTGCCTGACTGTGCCCACTCGGCATGGCCCCTAATTTGTGCATGGGTGTGTATGTGTGTGTGTGTCAACCCCCATCAAGGGTGGTGGCCTTAAAGAGAAGGTTCTTTGCAAGACGTATCTCTGATCTGCTCATGATCAGATATCCCGGGGACAGGAAGCTCTGATTCCGTCACTCTGCCTAGAAAAAAAATTAAAAGGTTACCTGGTGTTTCTGAAAACACTCTGGTGAACTCTGGCCACCCCAGAGCCCAAAGGAGTCTCGGCTTTCCCCCAACCATCATCTCCCCTTGGCTAGAGGCCTCTTCTCTTGACCACCTCTCCCCACCCCCGGTTGGATAGGCCATGATGGAGATAAGCAGCAGGGAAGCAATCCATGGGGAGGAGTGGGGGGTGAGAGAAGGGGTGTTTTTTTTCTGGGTTGTGTGCCTGAGTTCTCCTCTTGCTTGCCAGTCCCCCAGGAGGGGGGGAATAAGGGTGGGCAGAGCAGCGGGCATCATCTTACCACCCAAGTCCGAGCCAACGGGCCAGCGGAGGGGCCCAGCCAGAGCAGCCCTCTTGAACCCGTGCGAGCTTCTGCAGAGCCAGTGGCAGCTCCAGGCTGGGACGAGGTCAGACTTTGTGTGTGTGTAAAAAAAATGGGGGGGGCGCGTGCTCCCTAATCGTTTCTCGTCCTGCTCTCGTACCACAGGAGGGCACTCAGCACCCCTTCCTCCTCCCTGTTTGCAGCTTTCCGAATGGCTTCCAAGAGAGCGTTGGTGATTCTGGCCAAAGGGGCCGAGGAGATGGAGACCGTCATCCCCACCGATGTCATGAGGAGGGCGGGCGTGAGTAGGCGCCCTGCCAGGGCCACCGGCTCCCTCTTCCCCTCCTGAGAACCTCATTATCTGCTTGCGTTTGTGCGCCTCGTTATTTCAGCTGAGCGTTGCGGACGGCGAAAGGGCTGAGCTTTGTACCAAGGAGTCTTGACTTCTACCTTGTCCTCCTCAGGGGCTTGGCAGTGTCTGCAGCCTTCCTGGCCTCCCCCATTTCTCCCCATAAGTCCGGACCTGTGAGGTTGAGGACTGACCCAAGGCCGTCCAGCTGGTCTTGTGCCAGAGAGGGGATTCGGAACCCCCCCCAATCTCCCTAGTCCCTGTCCAGCTGCCTGACCCCTGCATTGCCCTGTCCGGCTATGGGGACAACCAGGAGCAGCCTAGGGAAGAAGTTGCACCGTGGCTCCAGAGTAGCCCCATAGAAAGATGCTTCGGAGTGAGTTTCACCTTGCGTGCCCTGGGAAGTCAGGCACCAACCCTTGGCCGTCTGGGGGTGCCTGAAGGCTTGTCCCCCCCCCATAAGCTGTTGGGGGGCAGGATGTGGTCTTAGCTCCCTCTTGGTCCGAAGGAGCTTTGAGCAGCTCTACCCGCTGAAATTCAGGGAAGTTAGGACCGGCCTGTGTGGAAACAGTGGACTTCGCTGTGCCATGTTTAAATCCTCCAACGGGGACTCTGACCGCCCACCAGTACGCAGGGGTAAAACGAAGCTCGGTGGAGGGATTTCCGTGGCTGAACCCTCCCCTCCCTCCCTCCCTGCTTTGCATTTGGGGCAGAAGGTTCAGCACTTCCTGCTGGCGCCCTGTCTGCTTAAGAACAACAACAGTCAAACGAACCACCACCACCCAGTGTGGTGGTTATTAGCACCCGGCAGCACTTTTTAAGTTCAGTGTCAAAACAAAACACACACATTATGTTTCAGGATGGGGGGGTTGGGGGCTAACGGTTTAAAGAGATTTGGTGGGCAGATTGAGCCTTTTAAAGAAGAAGGAAAGCAAAACCAAACCCTAGCGGGCAAAGTCTTCTGTCTTGCACCCCCTCTGCAGATTGCTGTGACCGTCGCAGGCCTGGGCGGAAAAGACCCCGTGCAGTGTAGCCGGGACGTCGTGATCTGTCCAGACAAGAGCTTGGAGGAGGCCCAGAAGGAGGTGGGTCCTGCCCAGTGGCTCTCGGCTCCCTTCCCCGGGAGGTGTTCTGGTCTGCTTGTAAGAAGACCCCCCCAACCCCACCGTGCTCCTTGTGATTGCGCCAGAGGAGTCCAGAAAAGAAAATCTAGGTAGGAGCAGGGTGTGTAGTGGAAATCACGGCAGGGGAAAGGGCTATAGGCCTGGAAAGAGGGAAAAGGAAGTGATGATGGGCCTTGACAAGGAAGCCTATCGCACCCCAGAAGCAGCCTCAAAAGTACGCCGGCGCAGTGCCGCCCGAGACACCCCTGCAGGAATTAAACTGGAGAGTTTGTTGAGTGGCCTTTCATTCTGCCCTGAGGGTAACAAGCCATCGGTATGGTGGAGTTTAAGGCTTGTAATTTTAGTGATCGTTGGCATTTCTTAAAAAATCTCCTGCACTAGAGGTTTCTGATTCCCTTGGTAAATTTTTGGAGAAGGGAATGGGAGGGATCGCCGCTGCCTGGATGCTGAGCCCTCTGGCCTCATCTGACCTGCCCCGAGGTGGGGCGGAAGGCCGGTCCCCCCCCTTTTTTTTTTTCCTGGTAAGGGAACATTCCCTCTACAGCATCAGCGAGGAAGGCACCCCTGGGGCACAGTGGGTGTGCTGCTGGTTATGTAGCTGGCTGATCCCCTCTTGGGGGTCCTGCTCTTTGCTCTGGTACGGCCAGAGCTGCCCAGTCCATATCACCCAGGGAGGCAGAGGAGGAGATCTCTGGCAGCGTTCCTGGCCTTTAGCTAGCACGGAGCGCCCAGCTTCTTGTTTGCAAGAGACCTCAAGAGTGGCTAACAAGTTGAGCTTAAGAGGTGGCCCCCTTCTTACGTGTTGTCCAAGATGTGCCGCTGCAGGGTGTTCTTGCAAGACTTGGTTTGCCCGCAAGAAAATGGCCTTTCTCTGGGCAAGATGGCTTCAATCCCAGTGAAGGAGTAGGTGGGTGTTCCTAGCCACCTCCTCCTCTTGCCGGTCCCTTTGCTTCCAAATCTGATGCTCTCTCTAGTAACTTGTCCGTCTCTCTTCCCAGGGTCCCTATGATGTGGTGGTCCTGCCAGGAGGAAACCTGGGTGCTCAGAACCTGTCAGAGGTAAAACGTGTGTTTTAGGGGGAGGGACTCCTTCAGCCCTCTTGGACGTCCCTTGTCCCGGAGGACCTTGGGGTGCTCTGAAACAACAGGGCAGCCCTCGATGCTCCGTGTCCCGGGAAGGAGCGGGGTCCCTTTTCTGATCCTGACGGCTTTCCCTCTTGCAGTCTCCTCGGGTGAAGGACGTCTTGAAGGACCAGGACGGCCGGAAGGGGCTCATTGCGGCCATTTGTGCAGGTGGGTTTCTCCGCCTTCCCGCCGGGGGGGTTGTGGGGGAAGCCAACTCAGCCGGAGGGGCACCGGCTGGCGGGGCAGCTCTGAAGACGGGCCGGGCTCAGCAGAGGAGGGAGGATCCTTTCTGGGGTGGGTGGGGGGCAGGCTGGGTTTCCTTGCGCCAGCTGTGGTTTCATGGCGAGGAGGTTGACTTCCTGGCACAGGGTTTTTGGGGGGAACATTCTCAGAACAGGAAAGCGTTTTATCTGATGGAGGCCCATTTCTCCTCTGTGTGTGTGTGTGTGTTTGCGTGCCTTGACTCAAAGGCTCCAGCCTCCAGGGGTCAGCCAGTGGCTGGCCGGAGAAAATGCCCATCTTCAGCTCCTTCGGCTTCAGCCACGCAGGCTCGCTTGCAGGCTTGACCTTCTGGGGCCCCTTGGCCTTTCAATGCCGGAGGTATCGGTTTACAAGCCCTCCGGCTGCCCAGAAGGCGTAAGAGACTGCTTCGCTGGGGGTGGGGGATGTCACTGCCTCAGATGGAGTCCCTTGGCTGCGGGTTCAAGAGGTGGCTGCGCAGTGTGGTGGGGAGTGCTTTCAGGAGGAAGACTCCA